TCGCGCCACTATCGCGCCTCTAGCGCTCGACCATCCCATTACGGCCGATAGACCATGGGAAACAGCGTATCTGGTCAATTCAACAACAGGCCTGGGGGAGCTCTCGATAGCTACGTGAGCGAACTCGGTCCTGATATTGTTTACGAAAAGAGGTACATACGGCGTTGTGCTCATGTTTCGTTACCTCTGACAATCCGTTATGGCGTTAGCGTAGGCTCAGCACGATTCTTGAAGACGGTTCGGGGAAGACATAGAAATGGGCCGCTTGTGATCAAAGTGTTTATCAAGCCTAGTGCAGATTTGACGCTGCGTGACCACAAGGCGAGGTTAAGGAGTATGTACCCAGTTTATTAGTTGTTAAACTTCATTCACATATTGGGATAGACTTTAGGGACAAGCTAGCCGATATACCCAATGTTTACACATACCAGGCGTTTGTGGAGTCTGATAAGGCTGGTTATGTGATCAGGCAGTGGCTCACCAGTAATCTTTACGACCGAATCAGGCAAGTCCCCTCCAAAACTCGATTGACTTACGACTGACGCCTGGACAGTACGCGGCCCTTCTTGAGTCTTATAGAGAAGAAGTGGTTTGCATTTCAGCTGTTGTGTGGGATGAAGGATGCTCATGCTCGAGGTGTAAGTTGGACTAGCTACGTTGATTTAATGTCCTAACACTGTGCTAGGCCCCACATGGAGACATCAAATCCGAGAATGTTTTGGTAACCTCGTACAACTGGATCTACATAACCGACTTTGCGTCCAGCAAACCGACGTATCTCCCCGAAGATGACCCCTCGGATTTCGCCTTGTTCTTCGACTCCTCTGGGCGCCGTACTTGTTACATTGCCCCCGAGCGTTTTTATGCCGCCGGATCCGATATAGCGATCGAAAAAGCAGAGAGGGAGCGCCAGAGTCAACGAGATGTCGATGTCACGGAGGCGATGGACGTATTCAGCATGGGTTGTGTGATCGCAGAATTGTTCGCCGAGGGGAAGCCTACTTTCACTCTGGCTCAACTTTACAAATACCGCGATAAAGAGATTAACCCCGAGGCTCACCTTGCCGGACTGGAAGACCCTGGAGTCAAGGTACGCTTGCTTGGTTCCAATGAGGCTAATTAGCTTATATCACTACAGGCACTAGTTCTTAGCATGATCGCGCTTGACCCCGAGGCCCGCCCGAGCTTCGCGATCGCTTTGGAGACGTACCGAGGAAGCGCGTTCCCCGAGTCGTTCTACTCGTTCCTTCACGAATATGTGGCCAGCGTAAACGAGATATCAAGCCCCTCCATTTTCGAACCCAAACCATCTCATACCCCAAACGCACTGGAAGCACACGTGCCCATTGCTACTGGGGCGGGACCGACTCCCACCATGCCCACAGCGGTAGGAGGTTCAGGCTTAGACAACGGCTCGTACGAGAGCGCGCTTCCAAACGAATCCGACGCTCGTATCGATCAATTATGGAATGAGTTCGCGATGCTAGAGCCTCATTTGGTCGCGACGAGGACTGAGGAAGAGCCTGAAAAGCGACCGGATAGGGTTCCTCCTAGAACTCGGGCCACACCGTTCCAGGTACGGACTAGTGTAAATGTGACACAGTATTCGCTGACACGGCAGGTAGGATATGTTCCCTGTCGAGTTAAGTATTCCCAAACGAATTAGTCGGCTACAAGGGGAACTATCGGCTAACCAACGTGCGGCCTATGAAGGTAAGCGCCCAGTCATCCATGTATATGACAACCTCAATGACGTTTCCCTAGATGGGCCCGCCCTTATCGTACTTTCCTTGGTTTGCTCAAACGTCCGAAACTGCGTTATCCCGAGTTCAAAACTACGCGCGCTAGATCTACTGCTCGCCCTAGCGGTTCATTTGACAGATGAAGCGAAATTGGATAGATTAATTCCGTATGTCATCGATCTGCTGCATGACGAGGCCGCTGTGGTGCGCTCTGCCGGTATCAGAACCTTGACTCAAGTAGTGCGTTGTGCCCAAATGTAATGCTTCTTCATGCTTATGGGGGTTTTCTAGTTGATGCTAGTGACCGTCATCACTCCCTCGAACACATCGATATTCCCGGAGTACATCTTTCCCAATATGCGACACCTTGCAGTGGACCCAGAAGAATCCGTCCGATGCACGTTCGCGCAATGCATTGCCCCTCTCGCCGATACAGCATCTAGGTATCTGGAGCTGGGGCAAGCTCTCAAGGCACACGGTACTTTCAAGCTTAGTGAAATTCAGGATACGGATGAAACAACCTTTGAGGTTCGTGGTATTTATGCTAAGATCGTATCCCTGGCTTATAGTTTCTTTAGATGCCTTACGAAGCTAGCCTACAAGACCTTCATTCTGCGGTTCAAGACGTGCTAACAACTGCTTTGGTTGACCCTGCAAGTACGGTTAAACGGGCCGTTTTACACAATATATCGTCTCTTTGCGTCTTTTTTGGGCGCCAGAAAACTAACGATGTACTTCTGAGCCATATGATCACCTATCTTAATGGCCGGGACTGGCTATTGCGTTATGCGTTCTTCGACAGCATAGTTGGAGTCGCCGCATGTGTTGGCGCCCGTAGTTTGGAAGAGTATATTTTGCCGTTGATGATCCAAGCTCTCTCGGGTGAGTGATGAAGCAGGAAGCTATGGGTATATCAATATTAACAAACATCCAGATGTGGAAGAAACCGTTGTATATAAAGTGCTCTCGGCCCTTACAAGCCTTTCCGAGTTGGGATTGTTCCAAAAGATGCGGATTTGGGAACTCCTTAGCGCCACGGTGCCGTTCCTATATCACCCAAGCGTCTGGGTGAGGCAGGGTTGGTGAATAAAATTATCAGGGAAAAATTATCTAACGGACGAATGCAGGCGCTGTTGCTTTTATCACTTCCTCGACAAAGCTTCTGCCTCCTACGGACGTTTGGTGCATACTATATCCCGGCCTTCGCCAAGCATTGCGGGCCGATATCAGGGCAATCACAGAACAAAGTCTACTGAGCACTCTCAAACCTCCAGTGAGTACACGCGTAGAAGAATTGGGATGATGCTGAGGGTGTATGCAGCTCTCGAGACAAGTCTTTGACGCGGCAATCGGCTGGGCGATGAAAAGCGATAAGAGCGCGTTTTGGCGTGGCCAAACGGCTAAACTCAAGGCGAACAAGGAATCCCCAAAGGAACTCGTATCCAACATGGGGAAGTCGGTCGTGCTGCCTCGACCTGGGTCAAAAGGAGACGAGTGAGTGCAAGGACGTAGTGTCGAATGGCTTGCTCATAGTTGGTAGGGATGACACTCAGATTGTGAAACTTCAACAGTTGGGGATGACTTCAACCGAAGAAGCGAAACTTGTAGCTTTGAGGGATTACATTCTTAAGTTGGCGAATACAATCAGGAGGTACGTTACATTTCCAAGTTGCACCAGCTTCAATTCCTAATTGAGGGCATAGCTTCACCGCTCGCGATAAAGACGAGAACGAAACAGTCAATATTTTACATGAACCTGTCGCCGAGTTGCAAAAGCTTGGTGTGGTACCCCAAACTGTTTTCGTTGGAACCCGGGCAGTTGTAAGCGAGGCACCGTCCGTGTATGCGCCGACCAACCCCACGAGCCGAAGGTCAACGCTAGACGTGACACCCCGGCCTCAACATCTCTTGTCACCCCGGGGCGCGCACCGAGCCGGAACCGACACTAGCTCGCGCTCAGGTAGCCCGTTCGCAATAGACGACCTAAGACGTCACCTAGGCCAGATGGAAGGGTCGCCTCATGGGCTAGCTGTTCCGGGTCGTGTTATCGGAAGAAAGGATTCCCATTCCTCACTTGCGAGCGGAAGTGGCATTCATTCCCCCGTGGCGACGGACCCAGCGTCTGACGCTCCTACTCTTGATTTTTCTCCATCGAGCCCATCAGAATCAGTCTCCGTGTTGTCCGGTGCGCAGGGCAATGATATGCGGCGCAGACACCTGAGGCAACTTGTACAAGATGGGCGGGGAACAGCACCTGCTAGCATTGTATCCACTAGGACAGTTGCAACGGGGACCTTGGAGGCTCCACTGAAGCCAAGTGATATCCCCGCATCTGGAAGGACGTCACCAGCGTCGACTATACGCGGCGAACAGCGTCCTAAGTTACGCTCTATTGGACCATCTTCATTGGCATTCGGTAAGCTCAAGCATTCAATATATCCGCCATTACTAAATTCTTCCAGAGAGCCAAGGGGCCAATGTCAGTAATCTACTGGAACAAATGCAGATGGATACCATTCGCGAGGGCATACAAGACTTCGGCCCAAAGGTGCCCTCTGTACCTGTTCGACGCCGCAACGTACCTCGGGGCACACTGGCTTCAAGAGAGAGTGGATCCCGTCGGGCCGATGCCTTATTGATCTCCCACATGAACGCGCACGATAGCCGCATCAATGGCATCGCGGTGTCACCCGATCACATCTTTTTCGTCTCATGCTCGGAAGATCGTACAGTTAAAGTCTGGGACACTGCTCGACTAGAGCGAAACGTTACAACCAAACCTCGGCACGTTTATACTCAGCATCACGCACCAGTTACATGTGTGTGCATCATCGAGGGCACCCATTGTTTTGCGAGCGCTGGAGAGGATGGAAGCCTTCACGTCGTCCGGGTTCATGTGAGCGCGTCAAGCTCACTGCCTAAGTATGGCAAACTCCAGAGTGTACGAGAACACCGATGCGATCAGTTAGGCGAGTATGTGACTTGGATGGCGTATTTCAACGTTGGTACGTAA